GAGGTGAGCAGGAAGGGACGTGGCAGGGAGGTAGGTTCCCATTCTATGTGCGATCGGCTCATCTATCAGCCAGGCCTGAGTCCTCCAGCAAAACGCCCTCCTGCCCACGACCCAGCTGGTGCGCAAGAGGTGTTTGCGCTGCAGTTTTGAAGGGGAAGGGGGCTCTGGCACCGGGCCAGCAAGTGGCGGCAGGGGCCGGGGGGTGGGCTCGGAGGGAACATTGTGCCCGGAGTGGTGAGCCTGCAAACAATTCCTGGAAATGGCTTTCTCAAGGGCAGAGAAGACAATTGTGATGCACAATCAGCAGGGAAGGAAGGCCCAGCTGGAACAAGGAAATGCAATGGCCCCAGGCCGTCAGACCTCTAGCAAAACAAACCTTAGAAAGCAGATACCCCAGGACTCTGCCCCGGGGTGGCAAACTGGTTGCCTTTGTGCTCTTAGCAAACGCAATGGGGGCGCATGTTCCGTCAGCCGGGCATGGGTCACCAACCTAGCAGCTCAGAGAGAAGCGGTAGACCTGCTAGCTCTTGGTTTTCATAAGACTTTTGATGCTCAGCGAGTGTTGAGTGATCGCTGCCCTGCAGGGAGGTTGTAGCGGGGAGTGGGGGGGCGCCTCCTGGTCTTATTTTCATTCGTGACTTGGGAATGTCGGGGGAGAGAGCGCACAGCTGCAGTTTGCCGCAGGGAGGGGTTGCATGCACTTTGGCGGACGGGAGGAAAATCCCAAAGGCCCTCGCTTTTTCAGACGCCCTTGGAGCGTTTGTCTGAAATCAACGAGGTGGAATTCAGTCAAGAGCGGTGCACAATTCTGTGCGTAGGGACTAGCTGGCTAAGTGGCAGGGCAGGTGAGCCTCAGCAATCCAGATTTCCTTGGTCCGGCAACACCCCTGGTCCGGCATCATCCGTGACTCCATTGGGTGCTCTGCGGCTGGACTAAGGAAAAACCAGCAGAGGAGTGTTGCTGGACTAAGGAAAAACGCAGCAATTGCAGCCAGACACAGACTGGGGGGGAAGCGGAGCCCTAGGGAGCTGGCAACGGGGAGCAGAGAGGCTGGCAAATTCCCTGGTCCGGGGCCCGTCAGGTCTCGAGAGTGCCAGACCACAGAGGTGCAACCTGCCCTGCTGAAAAGGATCTGGGGGTTCGAGTGGATCACGAATGCAAGCCGGCGGTGGACTGCGGCTGTGAAAGAGGCTGGGAACGTTGTGGGGTGTATTAGCAGCAGCGTCACCCCTAAGACACCAAAGAGAATTGTCCCTCGGGCTGGTGAGACTTTAGCTGGCGGATTGGGTCCAGAGGGGGGCCACAAAGACGGTGAAAGAAAACCCGATGTGGTCAGTCTAGTGGAAAGACTGAAGGAGGGAGGTGATAAGGCTTTAGGGCTGTGGTAAAGTCGTTCAAGGCTGTATAAAGAAGGGAGGGTATCGGCAGCAGGGAAGCTCTGGGTGAGACATTAGGAAAAACCTTCTAACTCCTCAGCTCGTTAAGCCTTGGACTCGTCTTCCAAGAGAGGCTGTGAACTCCCCAGTCTCGAGGGAGGCAGGTTAAGCACGGGTGGGACAAACAGTGGTCAGAACTGGTCTAGGATTACTGGGACCGCTCGAGGTCCCTTCCAGCCTGACATGTCTGAGACGCTGTCCCGGGCTACAGTCTATCACGGATCTGATAGTGCTACATGGAAAGTGGTTCCAGTCCTTTGGCTGAGGGTTTGACACCCCTTTATTAGGGTCTGTGCCCTCCCTGTCAGGCCGGGAAGCATTTCTCTAGCCGTGTGACAAATCAGGAAACTGAGGCAGGGAGCGATGACTCAGCAAATCGATGGGAGAGCCAGGGAAGGAACCCCAGTATCTTGATTCTCAGCATCTCTTGCTCTGGCCACAAAGCCACGTTCCCGGCGTGTCCCAACCTACTAGGGGCACCCTGCATCCTGCAGAATCCGGCCTGGGTGGTTAAAACTCTCCCTCCGAGGTGCAGGGCTTTTATGGAGTTGGGAGCCCCACTTCCAGGCTAGGGGGAGCCTCCAGGGGCCAGGCGGCCCCATTGCTGCAGCCTCTCTCACACCCGGGTCAATTGATTCAGGCTCCCCCCATGGGGTCTCCTAGCCTGGGGTCCCGGGGTTGGGTGCTACCCCCCCCGGCCAGAATGGTCTGACCCAAGCCAGCTGTGGGTCTTTTGGTGCAGCAGAACAGTGCCCTGGCCGGACTGAACTCCCTGGGTCCCTACCCCTGCCGCGCGGATGGAGCGCCCCTCCTTCGGCCGTGAGGACACCGGCCTTTCCGGGGCACACGGGCCTCACCGGGGTCCCCTGCCTCTTTGAGCAGGCACTGGAGGAGAGCAGGTCATGCGGCGCCGCGGGTCCCCATTCCACAGCCGGCGAAAACCTGCTGGACTCGTCCGCCGGCTCTGATGTGTCCAGCAGGGAAATCGGTGGCTTGGAGCCAGGGCATGGAGCCATCTGGAACACCCGCGGCGGATGTACTTCTAACCTGCGCCTGTGTCTTGGCCTGCCACGCGCTGTACGTCCCCCGGGTGCGCTGCTCATCAGCACACACAGCGGAGCTACCCACCTGGCCTGGTGGCACCTCCCACGCAGGTACTGCTGACACTGCCACGGGCGTACGGACGCATGCAGCCCCTAGCGCTTCGTTCTCACACGCCGTGGGCACCGGAAATGGGGCTAGAGCGTCCCTGGAGGTCCCTACGACGCTAGGAGTCCATAGAATCCCAGGGCTGGCAGAGACCTCAGGAGCCAGGTCCAGCCCCCTGCCCAAAGCAGGACCAACCCAACTCAATCCACCCAGCCAGGGCTTTGTCCAGCTGGGACTTAGAAACTTTTAGGGATGGTGATTCCACCCCCTCCCTAGGGAATCCAGCCCAGGGCTTCCCCACCCTCCTAGGGCAATAGTTTTTCCTAATATCCAACCTAGACCTCCCCCACTGCAATTTGAGCCCATTGCTCCTCATTCTGTCACCTGCCACCCCTGAGAACAGCCTCTCTCCAGCCTCTTTGGAACCCCCTTCAGGTAATTGAAGGCTGCTCTCAGTCTCACTCTTCTCTCCTGTAGACCAAACAAACCCAAATCTCTCAGCCTCTCCTCATAGGTCATGTGCCCTCCACTGGATTCTCTCCAATGCACCCACATCCTTTCTTCAAGGGGGAGCCCAGAATTAGATGCAGTACTCTAGGTGTGGCCTCCCCAGTGCTGAATAAAGTGAGTCTTGCCCACATGCTCAGGGTTCAGCTGATCACCATATTTGGGGTCGGGAAGGAATTTTCCTCCAGGGTAGATTGGCAGAGGCCCTGGAGGTTTTTCGCCTTCCTCTGTAGCATGGGGCACAGATCACAGCTGGAGGATTCTCTGAATCTTGGGACTTTCAAAGTATTTGAAGGCTTCAATATCTGAGATATAGGTGAGAGGATTATTCCAGGAGTGGGTGGGTGAGATTCTGTGGCCTGCACTGTGCAGGGGGTCAGACTAGATGATCATAATGGTCTATGAGTCTATGGCTGTGTCTACACTGGCAAGTTATTCTGGAAAATCAGCCGCTTTTCCGGAAAAACTTGCCAGCTGTCTACAATGGCCGCTTGAATTTCCAGAAAAGCACTGACGATCTAATGTAAAATCATCAGTGCTTTTCCGGAAAAACTATGCTGCTCCCGTTCGGGCAAAAGTCTTTTTCCGGAAAACTGTTCCGGAAAAGGGCCACTGTAGACAGCACAGTAGTCTTTTCCGGAAAAAAGCCCCGATCGCGAAAATGACGATCGGGGCTTTTTTGCGG